GGCAGTGTTTCCCCCCATCCCAAGCAGAGTTTCCCCAATAAATGACCTCTGTCAGTTGACCCTTCCGGCTTTACTATGTGACATTCTTGATGCACTCTCTTCCTGTCATTCCTTTTTGGCAACCCTAATCCAAAGCCCTTTGTTTTTCCTCTGTTCTGTTTTTTTGACCAGTTCGGCAATACCTGCTACTGCAACTCGGTCTTACAGGCACTTTATTTTTGTCGGCCATTTCGGGAAAAAGTTTTGGCATACAAGGTGCAGCCTCGAAAGAAGGAAAGCCTCCTGACCTGCCTCTCTGATCTCTTCAACAGTATTGCCACACAGAAGAAGAAGGTGGGAGTCATCCCACCCAAGAAATTTATTTCCCGCTTGAGAAAGGAAAATGGTAAATGAATAAATGACTTTTTAATGCATTTTTTAGGATGTAAAATGTTAAATTCAGGTTTCTTTTGGAGTCTGAATTGTCAAGTCTTAACAGGCTTCTTGAAGATTTTTGTGGTGTGAAGTTTACCACCTGTGTGCTTGTCCTGTGAGTTGTCCTTATCTCAGTGTCTGTGTTTCTGGACTTGCACATGTCCAGATATTCCACACTGGCATGGTCTTCTCCAGAGGAACAAAGCACACTCCAGGTCCTTGCCCCAGGCTCTCACGAGCTCTCACAGGAGGCCCAACCACTCACAGCCTGTTCTCTTGCATTTGTGGTAGGATGAATTCCTTAGGATCAGATCTGGTGGTTATTTCCCAGGGCTGTTTGGTGAGCAGAAGTTCTGGCTGTTGATTTATCCTCTCTGCTTGAACTTGAAAAGTAAGAAACTTCCAGCAGGGGATGTTTGCCCCTGGGTGCTGGACTTAATGAACCAGTGGCCCCAAGGCAACACATCTGAATTTCTTTATTTTTCTCCCTCTCCAAAGAAAAGAAGAAAGAAACTACAAAAAAACCCAAACCAATTCTTAAGTTCTGAGAAATGGCCAAACTAAGTTTCCTTAGTGGTAGTTTTCAGCTGTTTGTTTCTTCCAACCTGAGGATAATCATTGAGAGCACAACAATGCAATTCTTCCCAAACTCACCAGTGCCACCAGAGCTGTGTAAGAGGGGAGAGGAGGGAAGGGAAAAACCACAGTGACCTGGTGTTGGGAAGTGTCTACAGTTGTTCATTCTCCTTCGTCTTCCTTTCCAGAATTATTTGATAATTACATGCAGCAGGATGCACACGAATTCCTCAACTACCTACTGAACACTATTGCTGATTTACTGCAAGAGGAGAAAAAGCAGGAGAAGCAGAACGGGAAGCTCCAGAATGGCAGCATTGAGAGTGAAGAAGGAGACAAGCCTGATCTGACGTGGGTCCATGAAATCTTCCAAGGAACACTAACCAATGAAACCAGATGTCTTAACTGTGAGGCTGTACGTGCACCACCAAACCACTCCTCTTTAGCTTTCTCCCAGCTTCTGGATTGGTTTCCCTAACACTGAGCAACCTTTCTCATTCATTAGGGTAGATGAAATTGCACTGTCTCTATTAAAATATGGAGCATAGCCTATTTTAGGACTCTATGCTCAAACCAGTGCTCATTAAGGTATGTTGCCCAGAAAAGGCCCAGTGTTTTCCTTGTTTCTCCTCCCTGTTTCCATTGAGGCAGCTGCACCTGCCTGATCCAAGCTGCCTTTTTGTCTCCATGTTATTCCCTGTGTCAGTGATTGAGAGTTTATGTTGTGTTCCTACATGAGAGTTGCTCTTAATTTAACTCTGGCATGAGCTGAGTTGCTTGAACTGGGATTCTGTGCTCGGTGCTGGTCCTTGGCCACTCTATTTGAGAGCAAAAAAAGTGGCATGAAGTCTGGAATTAGAGCCACACCACCTTCAGACCAGGGATTTGTAGTTTGTCATATGCTCTGATTTAATAGTGCTAAAAAAAAATGAAAACCCAGATGGGGAGAGAAATAAAAAACCCAAGAAGTGGTTACAACAGAAAAGACTGTTCTTGGCATTTAAAATCTAAAGTTATGGCTATGTGGTGAGGAGAAACTCTAAAAATGGCATTAATAGGATTCTGTCTCAAGGTTTTTGCAATGAAATGTGACTGTTCCACAAATGGAAAGATGGTTTTCTTCCCTGCTAACCCATTTAATTGAGGAGCCATCTGCCTGTTTCTGCCTTGCCTCTGAGTATTGACTGTTACACCCTGAAATGCAGCAGAAAGCTGTATCAGGCTGCAGAAAAAATGGAATGTGGTTAAAACCTCTCCAGTGAGAGCTCTGAGTGGTTAAAACCTGGGTTTGCCAGTGAAATAATCAGAAGTGCTTTGAAGTCTCAAGGGGGAGAGATGTTTCATGAGAAAGTGTTTGGGGTTTTGTGCTTTTTTCCGTAGGTTTTTGGTTTTGTTTTGTTGTTGTTGCTTTTTTTTTAATGATCCTCTTCAGATTTTAACACCACATCAGATTATTTAATCACTTTTAGTTTAGCTCAAGAAAAGGCCTCTTTGTGTGCATGTACATTTATTTTTAATCACATTGCACCACTCCAGAACTGGTTAAAAGAAATCTGCCAGCTCTAAATTGTTATTAAATATCTCTTCTTATTATTTTTTTTCAAGGTTAGTAGCAAAGATGAGGACTTTCTGGACCTCTCGGTTGATGTGGAACAAAATACATCAATTACACATTGTCTAAGGTAAACAGAATTCTTTGGGAATTGAAAAAATACCTGCCCTGGTCAGAAGGAAAGGGTCTGGATTAGTTATTCTCTGTAGGCTTTGACATGAGGTAAAATAGTGTGTGTTTTGGAAGGCTTCTTAGTGGGTTTTAGTAGTTAATAAATACTACTGGTAGATAAAATTGATTTTCACTTTCTTTTATGGGGACTGGAATTTGTTATATCACACAATCAGGCTTTATCAAAAAATAAATATGCAGTGTTTGGTTTCACAATAAATTCTTGATTATTTTCATATTCTTACTGAATTTCAGCTGCCTGGCCCTGATGTTAAGGGTCAGTTTGGTTTTTCCTGGTTTTTGCTCCATGTGTTTGTCTGCTGGATCCAAGGCTTATCAGCTGCTTGGATTTTTAATTTGCATCCAGCATCTGGCTATTTAATAGCTGATAATGGATCTGTAATTGCTGGGAGCTGAAGGATCATCCAGAATTTGCTACTTAATGGCTGGAGATGTGAACATTTAATTTCTGCCACTAAAGAAAACATGGAATGACTGCTGATGGAAACAAAACTCAATCACCTTCTTGCTGTTTATTACCTTTCCTAGTCAGAAAATAGGCAGTTAATAGTGTAAATTCCAGATTTTTCCAGCTGAACATTGATGCTGCATCCCAGGAATGAGACAAATACACATCAAATGGGTCTGGGAGCACCATGAATGAAAGGAGCTTCATCCTCTCTGTGTTGTTTGGGGTTTTTTTCAGCATTTTCAGCCTGGATGCTCTGGAATATCCCTGCTTATGCCACTCTCTGATTTCCACAGGGGATTTAGTAACACTGAAACTCTATGCAGTGAATACAAATACTATTGTGAGCAGTGCCGCAGCAAACAGGAGGCACAGAAGAGGTAAGGGCCAAATATTCAGGCTGAGGCAGATGTTCCCTTAAAATTTCTGGGCAAATACACCTGGTGAATTCAGGCAAAGAAGAGGTGAGGTTGTCTAGGTCTGTGTTTGGTGGAGGAGAAGTGGAGAGGCCAAGTGATTTCATGGCAGCCTCATCATGAGCAGATCCATTCTGTGTTTATCCCAGAAGAGTTTCTATCTGGTGTTTCCAGACATCCACTTTTTCCCCAGTTAGCATTAATCAGCTTAAAGCCACTGGAAAATATCCCATCTGCTTTGTCTGGGAGCACTGGGTAAAAAAAATCTTATTTCTCCCCTCAGACTTGGTCACAGCCAGAGCAGCAGCACAGATTTATTCCAGCTCTTTCTTCCCACTGATGGGTGAAAAATTGATGTTGTTCTGCAGTTGTCTTGCATTCAGATGCCAGTTGTGCTGTTAATAATTTGGAATAAATATTGCCTGTTCTCACTAAGAGAGAAAAAAAAAAAAGAGGATTTTTTTATCCTACCAATATTTTGGACGCCTTTTACGACGCTTCCTCATAACAAAGCCATTCTTGAACAAATCTTTGTTTGGAGTGATTTTCTAATCCTTACCCTTCATTTCACATATTTTTGTGCTCCAGAATGAGGGTGAAGAAGCTGCCCATGATCCTGGCTCTGCACTTGAAGAGGTTCAAGTACATGGACCAGCTGCACCGCTACACCAAGCTGAGCTACAGGGTGGTGTTCCCCCTGGAGCTGCGCCTCTTCAACACCTCGGGGGATGCCACCAACCCCGACAGGATGTACGACCTGGTGGCCGTGGTGGTTCACTGTGGCAGGTACTTCTGCACATTCCCTGCCTCCCCTTGGAATCTTGAAGGAATTTCTCATCCCTGTGCTGTTTCATAACGCTGCTTGGTAATGCAGGTGCACTGTCAGAGCTGGTTGGCTGGAAGTATTTTGATTTTTTAAAAAATTTTTTTTTTTTTTTCTTTTTTTTTTTTTGCTATTTAAAATTTTACTTTAAATTTTTACTATCTTAAATTTTACTTTACAGGCTAAGGTTTGTCATTTTCTGCAATTTTGTGTCACACAGTGACACATCAGACAAGTTTTCTTTGCGCTGTAGCAAAGAGCAATCATTAAAAAACCCCAAAACAACAAAAACTTCCACCCCTAATCCTGTTTTCCAGGAAATCTAAATGGAACAAAAAGTAATCTTGGAAAAACACCTACTAAAATAGAATTAAATTATGGTTTTCATCTTGCTGCTGCCTAAACCCTTGAAGTTTCTTTAGAAGCTGGTGCCATCATGTGGAATAAACTGTGCACTGCTGGGTTTTCAAAATATCCTTATTTTCTTCGTTAAATTTTAGTTTTAGCAGCTTCAGTTCTGATTTTAAAAGCACAGAGGAAAAAACTGCTAAGCATTTTAGGAAAAAAAGCCCTCATGGAAGGGAAAAAGTATTTCTAAAGCCTTCAGGAAGTGTGAATTTTAAAGTAACCAGTTATTACAGCACATAAATGTTTTGAAATATCTTTATGAGGAAAAAAATGCTAATAATGCATAGATTTAGTATAAATAAACTTGATAGAATTCTAGAAGATTTTTGTTGTGGTGCAGTTACAGTTATATATAATTTTTACCATTTTAGGATCTCATGCAATGCATTTTTTTGTGTAGTTTTTGTTTGCCATACCTCTGCCTACACTTACATGTTTGGATAATGTTGATTAATAATTCAGATTATTAAATGGTTTTCCTTTTTTCCCTCAAACCTTTTTTCCTATGTGGGGCTTTTAGGATTCCTGTAACTCACCTGCTCTCAATTCTTACTGGAAATTTACCAAAGGCTTGGGATAAATGAGATTTTCTGAATATTTTGAGTTCTCAGAACTTGTTTGAAATATTTTGCAAATAGGGTTTTACTTTGGTTTATATTTAAATTTAGTTTAGTTTAAATTTAGTTTTATTTAGTTGCCCTAAACAAAGGAATTCTATTCTGAAACTGGAAACTTCCACCAGAAAGGGGGAAGAGCTCTCACAGAAGATCTGTCTGTAGTAAGGTTAAAACCACACTGAGAACTAAAGGAATTCCTGCTGTGAAATAAAATATTTCAGAGCTGATTTAAGTCAAAACTTCACAGTGGTCAAAATACTCAGCAGTGGTGAATGCAACACAGCAGAGATTGAAATATTTTTAATTTGATTTTTAAGATCTATGAGTGATGATATCAAATATTTACAGCATCGTGTGTTTTGAATATTTTACATTTTCAAGCAGCTAACGGCAACATTTTAATTGAACCAATCTGGCAAAAATCACAAAACCTCACCAGGGAAAAGCTGGGAAGTGGAGCTGGGAAAGCCAGAGGTGATTTTGGGGAGGGCAGTGGCTCCTGGATAATAAATTTGCAATTCCTTTTCCTGCAGTGGCCCAAACCGTGGGCATTACATCACCATCGTGAAGAGCCACGGCTTCTGGCTGCTGTTTGATGATGACATTGTAGAGGTGGGTAAGGAACCACAAAACACCCAAAATCTCTGATTTCAGCTCATTTTTAAGCTCCTTTCCATTGCTAACTTGCATTTCATTGCTGCACTTAAGAGCTTCTCACTTTTTTTTGGGTCACTTTCCAGCAACAATAGGAAAAAAAATTATTTTTAGTGATGATGTTGAAACAGCTCAAGCAAATTTTTCCTTTTCTGCCAACGTATTTGTAAAGGCTGATATCCACAATATTTATACATCATGGATTTCACTTAATAATTAAGCAAATATCAAACAGCAGCACAAATGCCACAGCAGAGCTGCTTTTGGTAAGGATGAAAATGCTTTGTTTCTCTCAGAGGTTCCATGGTCAAGGCCTGATTAACTGTCTAAATAGCAAAATCCATGCTTGTGTTGATATAAAAATGTAGGACATTCCTCATTTTTAATTTTATTTTTATTTTTGCATAGCTTTGAGCATCAAGGGTGGCTTCCCAGTGTGTGTGGCTGTCAACAGTTCCCTTTTTCTCATTTTCATATTTTTGGGGTAATTTTCCTCTGTTTCTGTCATAGTCCAACTACAGAATTGTCTCACCTAATTTGAAAGCAGTATTCACCCCAGTATTTTAAAATGCAAGTATTTTCTGTCTTTTCCATCCAGTATGTGAATTTCACATTTTAAAAGATGGAAAATAACCATCCTCTTATTCTGTATTTGTTTTCTATCAGTCACTTCTATGTTGAATCTTCACTTTTAGGGCAAAACCAAATTTCTGTTTTTCTGCAAACACTGTTTACACTGTTATAGATGTGCCAAAAATGGCTTTTAAATGTGTGCTGTCTGTTATTGGGCAGTAAATCCAAGGAGCTGTCGTGTAGGTCCTCTCTTCTGGAAAAAAAAACCACTTTTTCTTCCTTTATATTTCTTTTCTATCTTTAATTCTGGCTTGCTTTTGTTTTTCAAGTTCTTCTTGTATAGAATTGATTTAAAATGCTGTAAAAACCAAGCTCTTTGGAGGGTTTGCATTCTAGGTGTGGCACCTAACAAAACAGGTTTGAAAAGGTGAGTGCAAAGCTCTTGTTCACAGATATTGCAGCTGAAAGCCCAGGAAAAGGTTTTTCCCCCTGAAATACAAAAAGCTTTATTGCCTTTTGGCAAGTGATGTGAGTGAACAGCTCCAAACTGAAAATAGGAAGGAGTTTGTCCTCATTACCCACTAAATGTCAGCAGTGGGGAAGGCAGATTTATTTGTCTGTTGGGATTTCATGGGAGGGCCAACTCTCAATTAAATTGGAGATTGATGATCCCCAAACATCCTGCAGCATATGGGGAAAGCAGCAAATCCAGGGGACAAATTAGTCCAAGGGGGAGCCTGAGCCAAGCAAATTGAGATTTTTGAGAAACCTGAGCCAATAATCTGTGGCTGATTTGAGTTTGACACTTGTCACCAGAGCAGCCAGGGGATGCATCCCAGTGCCAGAGTTTACCTGGAAACATCCATCCATGGAGCTCCTCACCGAGGGGAGGCACAGAGTGGCTCTGCTTAAAAATTTCCTCAGGGATTTGAATGCTGGCAGTGGGATTGCAGGACTGGATTTGGTTTGGAGAACCAGAATAGATGTCTGGAAATAAGCAAATCTCAGTTCATAAGAAACATCATTTTTAATGCCAGGTGAAGTTGCAGAATCCTAACATTTGTAGCTTTAGAGTAACAGCCATCCACTGGTTGTTACTCTACAGTTACAAGGGGGTTAAACAATATCTGGTCAATAAGAATGGGAAGAACAGAATCTATATAATCCCCTTTCAGTTCCACTCTGTTTTCTGTGGATAGTGAAATTAAAGAAGGAAGTCAGTTTTGCTGTGCTGAGGCTAAAAATATCTGAGGCATGAATTAATATGGATCAAATGTTTGAGTTGCATTCAGAATGAGTAGTGGAAATAGGCTTGATTGCATGGCAAGTGAGTTGGCACTTAAAATAAAACATGTTTGACTTGTCTGCTAAATATACTGCAGGAGCTGAGGAGTGTTCTTTCACTATATTTCTGTTAAAATGTGCCTCTAACAGTCTGTAGTAACGTTATGTTAATAAATGGTGTGAAAATGCAGCAGCCTCAGCAGGGGATTTCAGCTTCCCCTCACTCCTTGAATGGAGAAAAGACAAAACATCTGTTTGGGGGTTTTTTTCCCCCCTTCTCTATTTTTTTAAGAGAAGATGTTTAAAAAAACTCGTCAAGAGAGAATTTCTGCAGTTGATGCATCTTCTGACAACTCCTATCTGTTTTTTCTTGTGTTGAGAAAAGGCTGCTCCCAGCTCACTGCTGTTTGGCAGTGCCACATGGAGAAGCCATTGTTGTTGGGTTGTTGTTGTTGCCAAATTTTGTTCGGGGGGCGGGGTTTTCCCTTTTTCCAGTGGGTTCTGCAGCTGAGGAGGGTCCCTTTCTTTTAAGGTGTAATCACAGCTTGGTCTCTGCTCCTCCTGAGCAGGGCAGGTGTTCAACCCAGAGCTTCTTGGGTTTGGGACATTTCTTTACTTCCTCAACTTGATTCCTTGGGAATAAAAGGAAAATTGAGGCTCATCTCCTCCTCAGCCTCTCATTTCTGTGGATCCAGGGTACTAAAGGGATTAAAAAACTCCATCCCAGTGGAGTGATGAGCGGCACTCCCAGGTGCCTGGGAATGTTTTATTCCAGTCTCTGGGCTGCAGGATCCAGCTCACAGATGGGAAGCCAGTTGGGCTCAGGACATGTGGAACCTGCATCTTTAAAAAACCCTTTAAAATTCCCTCCAGTTGTTGCTTGGAGTATGAGAGCAAAGCAGCTTTACTGCACATGGATCACAACTTGAAATACAAGCAGATTTTAATGCTATTAGTACAGCAAATCATAGTTTTTCTTAAGACACAGACCTTGTGATAATACCCCAGAAGGCTTTGCTTGGTAGGAAAGCTCTCTTATGGCCAAAGACCATAATTAGTTGAGACCCACAGAACTCATGAAGCACTTGCAGGGCTCCTTCAAAGGGTTCCTTAAAAGATTCTCCTTAAAAGGTTCACAATAACTTTGAAATCTGGACTTATTTTAGCTGGATTTTCAACCTACATTACATGCACAACTGTGCAAAAACTGCTTGCCTGATTAGTGACTGTTTTTTTTTTTTTTAATTTATAAAATAATTTAATTATAAAATACTCAGGCAAGGTGTACCACCAGCATGAGAAAAGCAAGTAAAAAATGTTATGTAGTCATTTAAGGATACATTTTCATGGATCACTTGTTTTGTAGTCCAGCATAGGACTGCACCCCTTCTGAGAAGTTTATTATTTCATCCTCATTTCCTGTTTTTTCAATAGTCAGTAAGTTATTAAGTGGGAAAAAATGTTTTGTTGGATTGAGTGATGAAGTGTCACTGTGTCAACACTGCTTGGCTTTCCAGATCACCTCCATGAACTGGGAAGAATGGTTTATCTGGGAAAAAGCTTTTAGGGGTGGTGTTGTGACTGAAGCTAATTAAAACTTCCATTAATTTTCAGAAAATTGACGCCCAGGCCATTGAAGAATTCTATGGGTTAACATCAGACATTTCCAAAAACTCTGAATCTGGATATATCCTCTTCTACCAGTCCAGGGACTGAGACAAGAGACACAAAGGATGGACACAAGGAAAAAGGGATCAAGCTTTGTCCGAGTGGAACGCGTTTGTGCCAGCAGAGCAGTTCCTCGGTGGTGCTGTAGGACCAGGACAGAGCAGGGGGAGGAGAGAGCTCCCTCCTGCCCTTTTTGGAGGATTAGTGCTGAACTGCCCTAACAAGAAGAGCTTTTGTTCCAGTTTTCTTTCTGGGCTTTTTTTTTTTTTTTTTTTTTTTTTTTTTTTTTTTTTCTATTTTTTTTTTTTTTTTTTTTTTAATGTGCTATCTTCCAAAATCTGTGTTACCTCTACTTGAAACCTGGCTGCTTATTTTTTCATGAACTGAAGAAGAGATTTCAAAGTAGCATTGTAGGATTTTTACCATTTAAAATTGGCCTGAGGCTATACCTTGGTTTCTGCCATCGTTTTTCTGTATTTTAGCAGAACGATTTCAATATTCAGTGTCAGCTGAAGGCATATTTTAGGATATGAGCAGCAGCTGGTTGCTGGATATTTTTGGTGACTCAGACTTGAGAAGCAGTACAAAGCTAAGACGTATTGGAAATGTCAAGTCTGTAATTTTTATAAAGAAAAAGCAGACAAACCCTTCTCTCTGCAGCATTGTAAACCTCCCCGTTCTGCATTCTCTTGGGTTTAGAGAACACTAACAGCACTGCTTCTTTTTGTACTCTTATTTGTGCTGTTCTGTTTCTCCTGCAGAAGGCAGAGAACTGTCTCCACATCCAGCCTCTCCTGCTGTGCATTTTCCTTTGGAAGCAGCAGTTTTGCCTCCAGGCCCCATTGCTGCAGGTTCCAGGGGAGCAGAGCAGCCCTGACCTGTCAAAGACCATCTCTGCTGTAGAAAAGTTGGGAATTCCAGCCTTTCTTGGAGCTGTTGCATAAACCAAAAGTGCCCTCATTCTGAAGCAGGATCTGTTCCACATTTCACTCAGTTTTGAGCAAACTGATGCAAGTTGCATTTTGAATCTATGCTAATCCACTGAAACAGCACTAATTGGGAAGGGCTGGCCAAGGGAAGGGGGATTTAGGGAACTAATCCAGGAGTTCTGAGTCTTGAGGTGAGAAGGAAAACCAACCAACCCACCAGACATTCCCTGGTCAGTGCTGCAGCCATTGTTGGTGATGTTTGTCTCCATCTGGGAATCATAACCCCCCCTAAAATGCTTCTGATTGTTTTACCTCTCTAGGCCTTGCTTCCCAGGGGAAATGGTTGGTCTGTTGAAGGCTGAAATGAAGCAATTATCTGTTATGTGTATATATTCTAATCTCAAGGATAACTAGGAAGAAAAGACTAAGGAAGTTGGTGAGAAATCTCAGAAAAATCTTGTGCAAGTTTCTTTTGGAGAAGTCCTCTTGCTGTGCCAAAGCCTGTCACAGCTGGCTCCAGCCTCCCAGTGGGAATGAGTGTTCTGCTGGGTCCCTGAGCTGTGTGTCCTCAGTGTGGCTGTCACAGCCCCTCATCTGTCCCCAGTGCTTGTTCTTGAGGATCTTTAACTTATGCAATTCCGTGGCTTGTGCAGGATATTCAATATTTTACCAAAACACTGTCCTCAGGAAAGCAGCATCTCACAGTTCCTCGTGCTGCCTGTGTCTGTTCCTTCCTCTCATGACCACAAAGGTGATGTTTAGCAATTAATTCCTGCCTTCAAAATGCAAATGAACCATTGCCATTGTATTCCAGCTGGGTACAGCTTCCATTTTCCTGGCACATCTCTTCCAGAAGATGAAATATGGACATTGGATTTTTTAATTCTTTTTTATTATACAGAGTACTGTCATTTTAAGAGACACATTCAACAGCAGTAGAAGTTCTTGTCATCTTGTTCCTGTTGTGTGACAATTGTTCCTGGCTAAGAGTCTTCTCCCCTTCTCCACACACAAGCTGTGAGTCCTCTCCTGGTGATGCCACCAGAAGACTCTCATCACTGAGTCTTGCAAAAAATGAAAAGAAAAAAAGAGCACTGAGTTAAAAATAATCTAAACAGTAAATACAAAAAGTAATGTAGTACACTAGACATGTATTTTGTATATCTGGTGATACCTTTTTACAAATAAATTACCTGACTGAGAGATAATATTGAAAGATATATACTATAGATTGAAAACTGTTCAAAGTGCACTTTTGCTACAGATTTATAAGGAGACTAAAATGAATTAAATGGGAAGAGAATGGTGTGATGTTACTTCTGTATAATAAATGACCCCACCTGTCTCCAATAAAGGTCATTATGATCAAACCCACAGCACCCAGAGGTTTTTTCTTGAATTTCACTCCTTAACTTCTCCCAGCCTGCTGGCTGGCTGAGGATCCTGATCCTGCTGTTTGCATCCCTATAAGCTGTGCAGGAATGGGTCAGAGCAGGAGAATTGAATAATTCAGTGTCAGAGATTGTACCTGCTGTGCTGCTACAGCAGGGAGAGGTTACCCAGGGCCTCTGTTCCTGCATCCCTCCACCACCCCCTGGAGCTCTGCTGCTGCTGCCTTTCCCTGGGATTTCTTCTCCCTCTTCCCCCGTGTTGGGCTCCCTAAGACTTTGTTGCAAATATCATCTGACTGATCTGGAACAGAGACCTAACATTTAAAGGCCTGTGCTTGGAGCTGTTGAGGTTCATTGCAGGACAGGTTTTCATTTTGTGGTGGTTCACTGCAGTTCACCTCTGCACAGGGAGAATGGGATCAGCTGTGCTCCTGGGAGTAGGAATTGATGGAATACACTGCAGCAGGAGCAGGGGAGATTGGATGATGGCAGCTGCTCTGTAAAACCACGTCGTAAATCCCAAATGCTGTCTGCCCCTTGTCCTGCTGGGTCACACCTTAGCAAGAAATAAATAAATTGAGCTAATTTTAACACCAGTGAGCACGAGTTCAACTTGCAGGAAGAGCATTCCCTGGAAATTGGGAGAAAACAACCAAATCCAGAAGGGCTGAAAGTGGTTTGGGGCAGGACTGATGGAGCTGGGATCTGGGAGCTGGGTTGGTCACTGCAGCTCTTCTCCAGAACCTCTACTGGAGTGAGGGTGGAGACCATCCCACGGTTATTATTTCTCTATGAAATGATATTTTGCTTCAAATTCCACGCATCCTGCAGCGTTGGAGAGGCTCTGCCCTCAGGGCTGCAGCACAGAGGTGCTCTCTGGCCTGCTGGTGGTGCTCAGCATGTTCTGGGTACCAGCAGGAGCTTTTAAAGTCCCTGTGCCAGCTCACTTTAGGAGATTCCTCAAACAAATCCTAGTTGATGGGTACAAGAAAGAAAATGGACTGAGAAAGGCCCCTGAGACAAGTCAGACCTTCCCATTGTGGGGCTCGGTGTTTAGCAAAAGGAAACAATCCCTGAAACAATTAATTCCCAACATGTAAAGTGCTGCTGGCGTTGGCTCTCGCTGCACTAATTAACCTCGGGGCTGCTGCTGCTGCTCTGCCTCCCTCCTGCTCCTGCAAAGCCCGGCCTGGCTGGGGAATCTGCTCCCAGAGCAGAATCCCGGTGGGATGAGGTGTCTGGGAGGGAGAGCTCAGGCTAGGGAAGGTTAGAAATGAAGCAGTGACAGTGGGGTGCTGCCAGGGTCATCCTGGCCTTTGTTCTGCAGACAAAGCTGCAAAGGGAAACGCTTTGATCTTCACACATTTGTGTCAGAATGAATGGCCTCAAAGTGACACTGGGGCAGTTTAGATGGGATATTGGAAGGGAATTGTTCCCTGGGAGGGTGGGCAGGCCCTGGCACAGGTGCCCAGAGCAGCTGGGGCTGCCCCTGGATCCCTGGCAGTGCCCAAGGCCAGGCTGGATGGGATTTGGAGCAGCCTGGGACAGTAGAAGTTGTCCCTGCCATGGCAGGGGATGGATTGGGATGATCCTTAAGGTCCCTTCCGATCCCTTCCCTCCCTCGTGGTGCTTGTTTGGATGTGCTGCAGTGTGGGGGATGTTTCTGCACCCGCAGGAGAGGGAAAGCTGGGAAGGGAAGGATGAATTAATTACACAGCAGCAGCAGCAGGCTGTTAAATATTTGAGTTGCTAATAATGAGTGCATTTAGTGGTTGTCAGTTGTTTTAAAAGCTCCTAAATACAAACAACAAGCACAAATACAAAACACTGCAGTGGTTGCAACACTTCAGCTGTGTAAAATCAATTAAAAATATTCAGGTAGTCCTAGCTGGGTCTTCCCTGGTGATTTCCCAGTCCCAGTCAGCGTGGGGGGAGGGCAGAAGGGCAAGGATGGGGTCTGGGAGCTGTGCTTGGGGTCGGGAACATCCCAAACATCCCAGAACTACCAGAGTTCATTTTGTTTTCCAGGTGGTTTTTAACTGGAGTCAGCTGCTTTAGCAGAACGTGTCATGTGAAGAATTTTAATGTAGAAAAGAGACAGTTACTCGGATTTAAGGCCTGGAATTAGAAGGGCCAAGCCATCAAGAGCTGGACTGAATCTGGGGCTGCTGCTGCCACCAGCCCGTGGGAGGCTGAGGCCAAATGCAGCTGAAGCTTGTGTGTCCATGAAATCGCAGGTGGAGTTCAGCAGGAGCTGAGTTTGGTAGTGATTAAGTGCCCTAATTAGCACTCGATTAAGTGGTTTTGTTTCAACCTCAAGGGAGCAGCCACAGCTACTCCAGCAAATCATTGCCAGGCAGAAAGGGAAGTGCTGTAGGGGATGGGACTGGGACTGGGACTGGGACTGGGACTGGGACTGGGATGCCCCAAAGGAAGGGAAATCCCATCTGTCAGCTGCTGTGCAGGCCCAGCTGTGTCCAGAGGCACTTGGGGCCACAGGGCTTTGATCTTGGAGATCTTTGTGGGATAAACCCCTGCTCAAAGCCGGCAGGGAAATGTGTTTAGGCAGGAATCTCACCTTGGTGACAACTCAGCTGTCAGACCTTGTGAGACCTCCTTGTCTGGACTCCTTTGCATCCCCCACAGTTTGGGTCTCTTGGGCTTTTTGGATGATTTGAAATGCTTTGGATATTTTGGAAGCAGGGTCCTTGCAGGTAGTGTGGACTGTGGCAGGTGGGAAGTTCCATCCCTGCATCCCAGAGAATCCCCAGATGGTGAAACCCGTGTAGGTCCAACGCACACCTGTAAAAATCCTCCCTTTCCCATCACCTGGACCAGCTGAGGTAAAATACTTCAGTATTTGCAGTTTTGGAAACTGCTCCAGGTCCCTTTGCTGCCACCTCACACCCTCAGCTCCTTAGCAAATTCTCAGGGAGTTG